AGTTCCCTCTGTCAAAACTCCGCCCATTACAGAAGGAATGTGAAGAGCATCCTGAGGAGTCATCCTGATCAGTATTTCGGTCCGCTTTGCTAAGCTCGTTCGCTTAGTTAATTCGCTCCACTAGTATTCTTTACACTTCTGGATAACATCAGATTGTTAATGTTGTAATGTTACTATTCTTATAAACATTTAAACACCAAGCTTAAGATTGTACGGTAACCTTAAGACTTAAGACTTAAGACTGGCAACATAAAAATTCCTGACTGGGAAACTCGTGCAAAAGGGGCATTCTACTTCGAGCTAATAATATTTCCGTGCCCAAGACTGACTGGAAAGCCTATATTCTACTGAGCAACTAACACATTAGTGAGCTAATAGAAATGCATCATTAATTAATTGTACATTGACAACTTAGATATGCTAAGAGTTGAACATTTCAGTTATGAAGCATCCATTCCCTTCATCTCATATTTTCCTCTACTAGGTAGTTTTAGATTTAACACGCTATGTAAGCAAGGAATATGGGTGAAGGGCGGAAAAATCACGACCGATATTCAGCTGTCACGATGAGTGCTCACGTAAAATTGCCCATCGCCCTAAATTTGCACTTTCTCTTCAGCTACACGTACTCGTTCAATAACGTCGTTATAACAATAAATCCTCTTCTCGAGATGAATCTTATTAGTGTGGGAAGGAAGATAGGTATGTACTTAGTCATCAAATGCCAAAATCTTTAAGCATCAGTTGGTAAAGTCTTCACTTGACTTTTTCGCACCAGCTTGCTCCTCAACTTTGCTCAACGAGCCCCTCAATGTTAAGCAAGATTCGGTTAGCATTACACCCTTCAGAAGTGGCATTCTATTTTTCAGGAGGGTGTACTATGAAGTACTAACACACAGAGTTTCAGAGGCGGCAAACTGATGGGTGTCTCGTTGGGTTCTTCTAAACATTAGGCGAAACTTATTTCTTAAAAGTGTTTCCGAACTTTCTCCCATTTCCATGACCGACTATCTAATAATCTCGGCGCTAATCGATAATTAATTGTTTTTTTCAATGCCAAACTTCAGTGCTCTTGCACGGCTATCACTGACTCCAGAGGTAATCGACTCGACCAACGACATTCATAACGAAGATTAAAAATCCTCAAGTAGCAGCTGAAGCTATGAACAAAAATCCGAAGATATTTGTGGACGCTAGATTCGAGGAAACGGATGGAAAACAAGAGGTCCTAAAGCGGCACAGTAAATGCGGGGACAGGTCATGTTTTAGATGATGTAATGAAACACTGGTAAGCTAACCCGAGGTTGATAAAAACACTTTATTCAGCTAGAAACTTCTAACTTTAGAAAAAACCTGAGAAACTAAAACCCTAGGTAAATAAAGTTTGTACTAATGTTCTGCTAGCTAATCAATAAAGAAACATTGATTACAACATTATAGGGTTGAATGAGCCAGTATATAGAAGTGCTGACTAGACACATCGTATAATATAATGAGGCCTGTGTAGTCATTATATTGGCCGGATACGCATTCAGTCAGCTCTATAATGCTACGAATGGGATCCTATGCACGCCTCATTCCTCAGAGATTGATCAACACCGAACACCCCATGCTTCAATCAAAGTCGCTAGGGCATAGGAGGCAGTGTTTGGATATTCGATGAAATGTATAAACCAAGTTTCATTCACAGATCTGCTCAGCATTGATTTCAATACACATCAGCTTAAATAGTCATCCAGTAAGTGCATCTGAATACCGTAAGTATTCGGCTCGACTGAATACGATTATTACAATCTCCTCAGGAAAACAGCAGCGGTGTAGTTCTTGATATAAGTCACTTTTTCCATTATCCTGCATTCATGACGTTCAAGAGTGAAGCTGGGAAGATTTTTCCAGATATAATATCAATTCTGAAGCCTCGGTTGAATCTGATGATAAAAGAGATATAACAGGTAATCAAGGCAAATATTATCTGACCGACTGACGAATTTGAGGCATTCATTACCAAATTAAATACGTGAACGTAGGCATTGGATCTTATGCTAGATCTTAACTACTGGGCTTTTCTGATGACAGCTTGCTAGACATCGTGTGCGCAGCAATGGCATCCTATTGTACTGAATTGCACAGCTCTCGAATGTTTAAATATCGCCATAAATAATGGTCTTAAGATTTAACCCATTACATCATCGTCAACATGGGCACAGATTAATCGTAGAATTAGAATTAGAATTGTTTTTCTTTAATAATTCTAGAAGCTATGTTGCAATTTTGTGTCCTGGTGTATAAAGCTGGGCGAGTTGTTTATAAGGCATTAGGAGCATCCTAGTAGTAAAAGCCGTTTGTTTCGGGGATCTAACAAAGACGACGTTCAATCAGCTTTAAAGATGTCAATGAAAAAAGCGGAGAACACTTCCCTAAGCAACATCGAAACTCACAAAGGAATTCGACCACCTCGACTCATGACGGCTGTAAGACACTGACATCTTAGTAGCTCGAAAATAGCTTTTCCTACGCGATTACCAGTATTTACTAACAAGACGCCTCCCAACAACTTACCGCCTCACCGTTGTTACGAGGTGTTCCTGGGTGTCGGGCTAGGACGTACAGGCGTGGGATTCACCTCTGGCATGGTCTCCCAAGCTGAGATGGCCGTTTCCATCAGGAAGTTCAGTTAAGAGTAAACCAAAAACTAGTTGTCTTGTGGTAAACCTCCTTCTGATCCAAGAAGAGAGACCACCTGTGGTCTTGACGATCTAGGCAAACTTTGGCCTGGCTGACCTCGGGACTCCGAGGAGCCACAATGACTAAACCAGAAAAACTCTGAAGAATTGGAGATTGTGTTGGGGCCCGTACAACCAGCGAGGATAGGTCATCCAAGTACCAAGTAGCAAGTACTAAAAAGACGAATAAGAGAAAAAAAACGCCAATCAGAGTTAACTAAGTGAAGGTTTACCTACGAAGAAGAGTTTTGAATCCCGATGTTGCGAATAACCTTTCGATGTTACGAATAACCTTCTTTAATTCCAAATATTAATGTTACTCCGATATCTTACACGATACTACTGTTTACCAACTACCAACTAATATTACGGTGAGGTTTAGCTTTCATCAATAGTCATTAGCAATAGTGGAGATTACCGGTAAGAGGTAATTGAGGACTACGTAAAATGTAAAGGGTAAACCTTTCGGCGTTGAACAATCCCTGAGAGATGCACCATGTATTCGACTCCATAGAGTATTATTAGTGGTGATTAATTGCATGTCTACCCTATAAAATGACTTCTGGTGGCCTACCTATGTATCAAGTCAGTGCTATTATCCTCCCAGAGAAGTTTGGTATCAAAGTGCCCACTCTGGTGGAATAGAATGCTTGGTGAACCTCGGGCGCCTGAACGAACCAAGGACCACGTGTGTATTGCACGCCACCTCTAAACACTGCGACACGCGCGCGCGCCTTTTGAAGTCTTCACGTGACCCCATTGTGTTAGAAATCGACGCAGCTCCTTAGATTTTGCTTCGATGTTCGACATTGGAAGTCCACAAGCTATACAGTTTCCATGATTTTTTACTCAAAAAATCATAACATTAATATATTTACCTCCCGACGGTTTAGGTGATTTGTCCTCCCGTTAGGGTCTCCCAAGTTGAGAAGGAATCCGACGTTTCCATCAGGAAGCCTAGCTAAGAGTGTACCAATACCAGGATCTACCACCGTCCTGGTATCAAAGTCGCATGCTGGCAAATCTCCCTCTGATTCACAAGGGCTGCCAATGCCTGTGGTGTTGAAGACCTGGTGTAGACTTTGGCCAGGCTGTCTTCGGATTCCGGGGAACCACAATAGCTTAACCAGTAAATTTTCGAAAAATGGTGATTATGCCGGAGCCCGCACCACTGATTAGGAAGGACAGGCCGTTGAAGTATCAAGTAAGTAATATATTTAAGCAGTGACATAGAGCACAGCATAATGCAGTCTTATCCATAAAATGTTTAAGCTAGACAACCTTGCAGTCTATTGAACATACAGAATGAATCATTACTGTTAGACGAGTGTGATAAAGAGATATCGCTGTGTGCAATTATATCAAATGAGTAGGATAGAGAAGATTACAATAATATATAAATGACTACAAGAGCTTTAGTAATACATAAATACAATAAAAAATCAGAAAAAGTAAAAGTATACCAAAGGGAGCCGAGTACGCGCTTGAAATTCTTTAAAAACAGTGAATGGACTACCCAACACCCACATGAGGACTATTTAAGAACATCTTACGTGCATGCTCGTCTGTCATTATCGTAATGGAGAACAAAGCCCAGGATCTTGTCATATCAACAATCTTTTTCGTTCCTGTATGGCAACATGTGAACGTTTCTTTTTTAAAGCACTAAAACATGGAACAAAATCACAGCCAATAGTGCCACTAAAGGAAGTAGGAACGAAATTCAACGCATACCTTGTGTGGAGCCTTAGTAAGAGGCGGACAACCAGAAAGGAAGCATCAATATCATATATGTTTTGGAAAGTTTATCTCAATTACCGTACCTTCTTTCAAGAGTCTACTTTTCAATTAATCTAGCAATTTTTCGTTATATTAAAAACGTCTTCAGATGAGATACACTATGCTCTTTTTGATTTCGCTAACACTGGACCGAATAATATCGTTCTTTACGGTAGCACATCTGAAAAAAAAGCAAGCATAACCCAGATAAAGGAATAGAGAAAGAAAGACCACGAAAATAATGAAACATAAAGTGTGTATAGAACTCTGAGGCGAACTATTGGATGTTACACTTTTTGGCGATTGCACTAAGACGAATAATGACGAAACAATTACCAAACGATATTAAGTCACACAGGGTAAACAATATATTAATCGAAATATAAAAATAACTCAGTATAAAACCCACTTGTCGAAGAATATTCGAATGAAAAATGAAACTCAGAAAAACTCTGAACCATAGCTGGTTCAACGGAAACGCTTAATGACCGTTGCGTATTACCTGCGCACTCGTTCCTTGCGCAGCAGTCCTAAAATAGTTAGATTAATAAAAAATGAAAATGTACGGAAACTCCATCCTAAAGATGATTCCGTTCCACCGGTAACATAATACAAGCAGTAACTGCCACGACCGACTTTCTATTAACCTCGGCATTGATCAAGTGATTGAAATCTTGGTTTGGGGTTTCTTTGTTTGGTTATGGAGGCGTCTGGCCGATGTGCAAAGCTGTGTTCAAAGTGATTGAAATCTTGGTTTGGAGTTTCTTTGTTTGGTTATGGAGGCGTCTGGCCGAGTGGATTGCTATCAACTTGACCTTTCCAGGCTCTGAGGAAGGCGAAATCCGCCGAAACGTCAGCTTATTCGTGAACAAAGAATAGTAACACCTCGCGTTTGCTCAACAAAAATACGAAGATAATACAAGCAGTTTAAACGTTTTTAATCAACGAATATTGTCAACGAACATGGAAAAAAAAAGGAAAAAAGGCGTTTAAGGCGGATTTCAGTTCTAAACCTTCTGCTCTTGACACCTACAGTTAAGTGAGCTTGAAATATTACACCATCACGAACACATGATTTTTCGTATTTATTCATTGACATTGACATACAGTACAATCTTAAACTGCCTACTTATCATGTAAATGACGGACTAATCTTGAGCTGATCCAGTTTAAATGACATCTTCAGAAGGACATCGTTATTGGGAATTTTTCAGTCCTTATTGATCATTGGGTAATTCATGCACAAGAAAGCGATCCAAATGTTTAAAAATAAGAATGTAGACCAGATGTCGAAAGTAAGTTAGTACAATCGAGCTTCGCTCTCAACCTTGTCTATCTATGTTCTGAATGCCGATCCGAAACATTTGAGATCGTTGTAGTGTGATAGTATAAGAGGAACTCTTAGATTAATGAATGCTGACCTTGTTTTGTTAAATTTTGCGCGCACTTGTACCATATGGCCAAAAGGCAACATAAAGATGGATTCATTCTGGTGTAGAGCGTCAGACGTCAAGCACGGTTCTAATTCAGTGAAGTTCTTGTTACTTTGAAGTGTTTTAAAACCTAGTCGCTGAAAACTACTTACCAGACTGTTCTATATTGCTGCGAATTTTTCACCGTGTGTTAATATTTGCCACTTTATTATCGCTACTAGAGATCCGTCTAAGATGCGAAGTGGCAATGCCCAATCGCCTCGCAGCTTGATTATCCATGACATTACAGGACACCTAATGCTCGAGTTCCAAAACATTTGTCAACATTTTACATGTTTGAAGGCAGAAGACTCGGGGAAATCCACGACAAGAGGCCTATGGCTATCTACGACTATTTTTTAAACGATCCTATCCCCCTTTACACACCGTTCCTGAGGCAATGCTTGTTTATGCTCGTCGAGTCTCTATAGTGCACCGAGTGGCTTGCCACGTATTCGATACTACTGAACACAGCATCGATCAAAACACTAGGAGTGCAAAATAGCATTTCTACGGAACCTGAAATTTTCCACTTTAATCCACAAATTATGAGAAACCTGAAAACTACCTGATTAATGGGGTGCCCGTTGGCTGCACCATTGCAGAGCATCTGCAGATCATTCGAATCATTGTCATTGAGCATCATTGTCAGATGTTGTAAATCGTAAAAACAGTCTAGGTGTGGCCTATATGCACCCTCAGGATTTGTTAGCAACAAGCGAGGAATATCTAACGATTCCGGTGAATTAGAGAATGTCCTGAAATTGGGAAATTGATGTTTAGAGACTGGTTTCAGAAAAGAAAACGGAGGGATGATTAGAAGAACATAGGATTTACCATGAAAAAAAACGGCGAAGTAAGACTTCACACTTATCAGCACTATAGTAATATCCGAGAATACCTAATCACAACGATGATGATATAACTGCCACGACCGACTTTCTATTAACCTCGGCATTGATCAAGTGATTTTCTTCGTATTTTTGTTGAGCAAACGCGAGGTGTTACTATTCTTTGTTCACGATTAAGCTAACGTTTCGGCGGATTTCGCCTTCTTCAGAGCCGCTTTCTATGAGGTTTCCACTAAGTATACTATACTATCGTGAACAACGATGATGATATATTTATTCATGTGATCTTATAAACTGATCTTCTTAAGTTGACGCGAGGTTGGTACAGATCTTCGTTGTCGTTGTCGTTTTTGATGTTATTGATCGATGGCTGACGTTTCGGCGACTTCGCCTTCCTCAGAACCTTGACGTATTTTATATTAGAATATTTTTGTTACGGTGGAAAAGAGGGGTTAAAATATTAATGAAGATTTCAAAAATCTAAACATTAACCGAAAAGACGAATGCCTCACTATCACGCCTGAATTGGCGCCCTATTTCAAAATGATATTTGGACCCCGGGGTGTATCCTCCTCGCGACTCCACGAAAACAACGCATGGGCCAGTCCCGCACGTAACATCACGACTCAGATCGACTCAGATAAGATCACATAAATAAATATACCAACTATCTATGCCGAGGTTTATAGAAAGTCGGTCTTTCGAGTTATTAAGATGATGATATATTTACAAAACTTGGAGCTCAGGCCAGAGCGGAACCCGCGAATACTTTTCAGGGGCCTCACATGCTACCACTAAGACCATGGCTTTGCCTTTCTCTCAGCCACTTTTTTATCCTAGCGGTGCTACCATCAATCATCCATCGGCAGGAATAGTCTAGGCAGCGAAAAATCAGGCAGTTAATAGAAAGTTAAGGAAAGTTGAGAATATTTAATTCCTAGGTATTCCCATGGATATGTGAAAACACTAACAGTTGTTTTAGGATACAAAACAAAAAGGAAGCATAATTAGCACCCGTGATGGGTAATTTAATGAGAAACGTTTAAAATGTACCGTCGTTTATATTCTTGAAATGTTACAACATCTGTACATGTCGTTTGAAAGACTCGAATCGAATTATGCTCCTAATGTAAAGTGCTTCACAAACAGAAGGAACAGGAACAACAGGAAAAGAGACGTCTTTATCCAGAAATACGCGAGCTGATACGCCACCGTGGAATCGCACGAGCTGCAGGCAACCGCGAACTAAGGTCTAAGCTTGTAAAACAATGCAGACAGGTGATAAAAGATCTTAAAGATAGAAGAGCAGCAGCAGTGGTCGTTACATCCACCTTCCGTCATATGAAACAAAGGAGGATGGATATGTTGTCCCACCGGTTCTCTCTTCCAAAATACGACATGCTACTTCGTCAGTGAAAAATCAAACAGCACCAGGTCAGGACAGGATAGGGCCAGAACACCTGAAGACCATTACGCCAGTGCTCGTAAACACAGTGGCTTGGCTCTTCGCACGTTNGGAGTCGGCGGCGCCGGCGTTCTCGTTAACACGAGCTTGTCCATGAACTTCGATTCATTCAAACAGCTTACAACCCGAGTCCGACGTTTACGATTAAAAAGATGTGAATCATTACCGGTTTTGACAACCTTCGTCGTTTAGGCGCCAACATCACACTATTACGAAGAAGAAGTCGAAGCATTCTATATGGACTTGGAGAAGTTTTACATAGAAGCCCATACATTCTTCAAGGTCACCATTGGAGATTTCAACGCCAAGATTTGACCAAGAAGAGCGTCTAAAGGACGTTACATTGGGACCCACTTAGAATGGCTTAGAATGGACCAAAGGGGGTGAGCGGCTATGTAAGTTTATCAAAGAGACCAAGACCATCCATGGTAACTCGCAAATCCAGAAGCCACACCCTCCACGCTGGACGTAGGAGTCTCCAACAGAGACTAGATAGACCACATCATAGTAAATAGAAGGTTTTGCCTAGTCGATTTCGCTATTGTCCAAAAAATCTGCACAGAATCGGACCACCGACTACTTCGTGCAAGATTCTATTTCTCGCGGAAAGGAGAAAAAGTCGCTAAATTCCAAAACCGAAGTCCCAGAACCACCGCAAACTGGGACTTATTCAATTCATTAGTCGGCTGTTAGAAAGATGCCGCTGTCGATAACATCGACGAAGAATACGATCGACTCATTCAACATCTTCACGTTAGCGCTGTGAAAGCTGAGTGTTCGAAAGTCACCAAGAGACGTCTTTATCCAGAAATACGCGAGCTGATACGCCACCGTGGAATCGCACGAGCTGCAGGCAACCGCGAACTAAGGTCTAAGCTTGTAAAACAATGCAGACAGGTGATAAAAGATCTTAAAGATAGAAGAGCAGCAGCAGTGGTCGTTACATCCACCTTCCGTCATATGAAACAAAGGAGGATGGATATGTTGTCCCACCGGTTCTCTCTTCCAAAATACGACATGCTACTTCGTCAGTGAAAAATCAAACAGCACCAGGTCAGGACAGGATAGGGCCAGAACACCTGAAGACCATTACGCCAGTGCTCGTAAACACAGTGGCTTGGCTCTTCGCACGTTACCTGACTAAATTCAAGGTCCCTACTCAGCGGAAGACCAGCATGACCGTGTTATCGTTCAAGAAGGGTGACCTGCACGACATTGGCAACTATCGCCCAATCGGCTTGCTGTCTGTCTTCTACAAACTTTTCACTCGAGTCATCCTAAACAGGATTGACAGAACACTGGACGAACGACAGTTATGTGAGCAAGCAGGGTTTCGAAAAAGATTTAGTACGATGGCCCACATCCATACGTTAACAAGGCTCGTTGAAGCACCGCGAGAGTACAAAAGACCGCTCTGTCTCACTTTCATCGATCTACAGAAGGCCCTTAATTCAACTGAGATAGAAGCAGTCATATAAGCCCTTGATAGTTAGGGAGTCCCTGCTCAGTACATAAAGATTATTCTTGAGCTGTACAAAAATTTCACAACCAAGATATCAACGGTATCAACGTTGACCTCAAAAGAGGAGTTAGGCAAAGCTATACCATAGCCAAAATTATTTACCTCCACTCTACAGAACGTCATGCGAACATTGGAATTGGATAATATGGAAGTGAAAATTGATGGTCGGCAATTACACCATCTTCGCTTTGCTGATGACATCGTCCTTATAACACCAAACATTAGCCAAGGAGAACGTATGCTTGCCGACTTTGATAAAGCCTGTAGAAAGATTAGTCTCCGACAAAATCTTACAAAAACGATGTTCATGAAGAACGAATTGGTTTCGTATGCCTCATTTACGCTCAAGGGAACAAATATCACGAATGCTCCAGTTTTGTCTATCAAGGTCGGAAAATCAATATGATGAACGACTTAGCCCCAGAGTTGAGCAGAAGGAATCGAGCGGCTGCAGGAGCTCTCAAGAACACCAAGGATGTACTGAAAAAAACAAAGAACTCCCGATTCCGTGCCCACCTTTTCGACTCAACGGTACTTCCTGCCCTAACGTATGCGTCAGAAACCTGGTCGCTGCCTAAGCAGGACAAAGGATCACTCAGCGTTATCGAACGCGCAGTCGAAAGGACTATGCTAGGAGTGTTCCGTTCCACACAAGCAAGGAATGGGATCCGTAGCTCCGATCTGCGTCAACGACCAAAAATCAAAGATGCCGTTCTGTACGCCAAACAATTGAAGGTAAGGTGGGGCGGAAACGTAATGCGTATGAATGACAACCGATGGAGCACAGGCGTAATGGTCTTCAGGTGTTCTAGTCTTATCCTGTCCGGACCTGGCGCTGTTCGATTTTTCACTGACGAAATAGCATGTCCTATTTCGGAAGAGAGATCCACTGGTACAACATATCCATCTTCCTTTATTTTATATGACGGAAGATGGACGTGGCTATCGAAGAGATCTGAGTAGCATTCGTGAGCGATTCTTGACATTGTCTCTCTGAACGCTATAATTGCTCGGTCTGGGCATCGGAGTACAATCACCCTGGTTTTGTAATTGGCGAAGCTTCGGTGGGCTTTGCCAACGCTTTTCCCAGTCTCTACTCTACAGCTTCGACGACTACTGCTGCTCTGCTATCTTTAAGATCTTTTATCGCCTGTCTGCATTGTTTTGCAAGTTCGGACGTTAGTTCGCGGTTGCCTGCTGCTCTTGCGATTCCACGCTAGCGTACCAGCTCGCGTGCTTCTGGAGACAGAGGTCTCTTGGTGACTTTCGAACTCCCAGCTTTCACAACGCTAACGTAAAGACGTTGAATGAGCCGATGTTTCTCGTCGATGTTATCGACAACGGCATCTTCCCAACAGCCGACTAATGAATTGAATAAGTCCCAGTCTGTGGTGGTTCTGAGACTTCGGTTTTGGAATTTAGCGGCTTTTTCTCCTTTCCGCGAGAAATAGAATCTTGCACAAAGAAGGCGATGGTCTGATTCCATGTAGAGTTTTGGGACAACAGCGACATCGGTTAGGCAAAACCTTTAATTTACTATGATGTGGTCTGTTTCGTTGTGGTAGTTTCCACTGAGAGGCTACCACGTCCAGCGCTGAGGGTGGGGCTTCTGGAATTGCGATTTACTATGGATTTTCTTGGTCGCTGTTATGAACTCAGACAGGCGCTCACCCTGTTCGTTCCATTCTAATCTGTGGGGCCCAATGTGACGTTCTTCAGACGTTCTCCTTGGTCCAATCTGGGCATTGAAATCTCCAATGGTGACCTTGAAGAATTTATGGCCTTCTCTGTAGAACTTCTCCAACTCCATATAGAACGCTTCGACTTCTTCTTCGTCATAGTTTGATGTCTTCGCGTAAACGACGAAGATAGTCAAAGCCGGTATTATAGAGAACATTCTTCACGAATATTGGAATGTTCTCTATGTAAATCAATTATAATCTTATGTCAAACATTTCAAATACTGTTTCCGGTGACCTTTTTCTCCATGACGATCCGATAACCACATGGCTAACATTTCGTTGGCGGTTATCTCATGAAAAACATCTGCAGTTACAGTCCTATGCTTTGATTATCGCCTTATCAGATTGCAACGCTTGTAAAATGTTTCCGGCAGCCGTCCTTCCGCATACTGTAGCCTGACTCCACCTACTGTGATCCCACTCCACCTACTGTAACCCGACTCCGCCTATTGTAGCCTGACTCCGCCTAGCCCAAAAGGTATATAAACGGCTCCACGGCTGACTAGCTCAGATCACAGCAATGCTGCCCAAGTCACCATATCCTTTCCTCACATCGATCTCAGGTGGTCGAAGTCATATGACAACCTCTTCACTCTTGAGCAACCTGAACACAAGAAATCAGGCTGCGCCTATTCATTACTTGTATCATTGTTGTATTGATTGTACAGTTGTATTGTTATGCCATAATTGTTGTGTAATTATAATAAACGGTTTAATTACCCAAGTTTGAGGTTTCCGGCATTGTGCTTGCTACTTACAAGAAGTCCCGCGTGGTCTACACAAAGGCAAGCAGCAAACTCCGACCGAATCGTCTTAACTACTTGGTATTCCTATATAATCGAGCCGTCCCAACAGGTATTGATCCACATCTTTTTAATCGTAAACGTCCGATTCGGGTTGTGAACTGGTCGAATGAATCGATGTGTATCGGAGAGCCCAATATGGGAGAATTACCTTCAAAAATAAGAGGACCACACCGTGCCACATAGAATATGGTCGAGACGGAAACCACCTCATGTCGGGAATATCCCTAGGCTGCACCTATTGCTGAATCTAGGTGAATGAGCCGAATGTCAGCAAGTATAAGAATGCTTGATTTTTTTTGAAGTTCTATTAAAACCGCTCTGAAAAAAAAATAAGAATAACACGCTGCCTAATACACGAACTACTTAAGAGGCTTGATCCAATTGCAATTGGTACTAGTACAGTTCATACAGCTGAGTTTCGTTTTCGTATGTGCGTTGATATCGTAGAGCAACGAGCTACCTCGGATCTCTCTCATTTCCAGGCCAATGTCGAAATTATTCATCATTACAGTCTCACTTGATGAACGAGAAGGATCACGGCATGAGGTTAGCATTGTTGTGTTTTCAAGCACCAGAAAAGAAGCCAATGTTGAAATAACGATAAGGTAATGCTCGACACGACTATGTGATTTAACAGTTTCATTGTCGTTAGGCAATGCTTCTGCTTATTCGTCACCCACGGCGTGGGCTTCATTTTTAAGTAGAGGTAATCAAGCAAAGTCGACCAATATTTCCACTCGAAAATCCAGTTAAGAGGAAACTTATGTGAAACTTATGCCGACAGCCACTGGTCGACTTCATGCACCAGAAGGCCATAATAGAGAACGTAACTGTTCGTCGACCCTTAGAGCTACAGGTTGGTGTAAGTGTAATCGCCAATTTTAATTTTAAACTGCAGTTTTTGGTTGGCATCAGTCACCTCGCAACACAATTTTTCAATGAAAAAAATGAGCCTAGTGGGAAGTGCTTTGTGATCCGCTTGCACTCGCACCATTCCTGAGCTTGTCTCTTTTCCTGATACAGACGCATTCCTCGTCCATGTAAGACTCTGTTGCTGGTGTTCCTTAAATAATCGGAAGGCTTGCAAAGAACAAAGTAGTGAGTAACTATAGCCTTTGTTTACAATAGCTGACGTTTCAATCGTTTTTCCATCTTCAGAGTCTGTAACAGTCAAATTGACAGGCAATTGAACTCAGCAAAGCACTTCCAATGCCTCAGGAGATAAAACTGGTAAACAATCATTCGTATAGTTAGCGTCTTCTTTTAAGCATTCACAGTTTTAGTCCCCATGGACCACTTTCTGCCTTCCTCGGAATTGGTCAATAATCTGCTGCTTTTTTTGAAATAAACAGACACGGGTTTAATAACTCGAAAGAGCAGCTTTCTATAAACCTCGGCATAGATAGTTAGTATATTTATTTGTGTGATCTTATAAACTGATCTTCTTAAGCTAACGCGAAGTTGGAACAGGTCTTCGTTGTCGTTGTTTTTGATATTATTGGTCGATGGCTGACGTTTCGGCGACTTCGCCTTCCTCAGGGTCGTGATGTTACGTGTGTCACTGGGGTTTGTTACTACAATCTATTCACAAAAGCCGACGCTTCGGCGGCTTCAATCTAGTTAGCCAAACAACTCATAATCCTCACAGAAAAGCCTCGAAAGCTAAATTTCAATATGTTTTTCGATTGTTTTACCAGTTTAATGTTGAACCAAATGCTCCACTACTCTCACATAGTGCACGGAAACATAATGGAGATGATATTGAAGTCGAAGTTACCATAATCGTGCGGAAATCGAAGACACCAGCGCGCAAAACTTCGGAAGCATTTTGGATGCGTTCAAGGAATCCAAAGATAAACCACAGAAGAGTGGAATGCCTCGCTTTAACACGTTTTCTTACATACATATCTCAGAGTGATATTTTCATGTGAGAGGGTCGCATTTCCCATCCTTGTGGATTCCGTGCGGTTGGTCCTCACTTAAAATACTCAGTGGAAGACATATGGAAAGGGTGAGTGTGCAAATAATCTACTTTGATTTCAACACGAAGAAAATCTAGATTTCTTGATTTCCCTTTTGGGATTGTGGAGACGTTTGGATGACTAGACTGCAGTCAACTTAACGTTTTCATGCTCTAAAGAAGACAAAATCCTCTGAAAAAAGGGTATAGTAACTCATCGTCTTATTCTTTGCAAATCTTCCAGTTATTTGATGGAGAAAAGCGGTATGGAGTTTTATACAGGTTAGGTATGTACCTGGAATAGATCAAAAAATCAACCTTAGGTTTGGCACGAGATCAGGCGCGACTGTAAGGCGCTTCTTCCAACAATCATTCATTCCATTAAACAACTATGTTAAGACATGACGTATTTAAATCGAAAGTTGCGGTGCGATTGAAATCGGCCATCGTACTTGAATCAAAACTCTGGCTAGCTCTGAGGCGCTGGTAACGCAGTCTTTACAGGTGTCCTGTATTATGGAATGAGTCGGCCGTTGGCTTGAGCTCGCACTCTAAGATATCCCACTACCTATCCTTCCAGGACCTCAAATTGCTATGAGGTTTTCCTGGAAAGAAAAAAAAAGCACTAACTTACCTGCTCTGAGGAAGATGGAGACATTAAGACATTGCCCGACTGTCTCTTTATCAGTATCGTGTTGGCTTATCAGTGAAAGAGTACTAACTCGATCCCTTTCTAGGCTACCGCAAGTTGTTATATAAGCCAGATGCGCACTAAATCACCTTTAATGATACGTGATAAATCGAGTGCATGGCACATCCCATAGATATTGATCAGTGCAGAACAATTTACGCGTTTCTAAAAAACGAAAATCCCAGCCGTGATGAAATAGAATGCCTACTTTTCTAGTAAGGAAGTGATAAATATAAGGAATTCTTGTTCAGCAAACGCGAGGTTTTTAAACAGCATACATTTAATTCCATAGAGAAACACAATACAATACAACGCTAGCCGACGTTTCAGCAGTATCGCCTTCTTCAGAGCATGGAAGGGTATGCTGATATACAATCTACTAGGCCAAACGCTTCAATAACAACCGCACAGAAATCACGTAGAAGTATAATGACACACAGGAAGTAATCACATTATACTTCCACGTGATTTCTGTGCGGTTGGTCTCTACGTGACATACTTAGTGGAAACCTCATAGAAAGCGGCTCTGAAGAAGGCGAAATCCGCCGAAACGTCAGCTCATCCGTGAACAAAGAATAATAACACCTCGCGTTTGCTCAACAAAAATACGAAGAAAATCACTTGATCAATGCCGAGGTTAATAGAAAATCGGTCGTGGCTTCAATAACACTTACAAAAAGACGAAAAACTCTATGGTAATTACATGATCAGCAACTTCTCGAAAAAACCCACCGCTTTTTTCGTGACTTCCAATGAGGAAGTTTAGAACAGCTGATTATAGTAGCATGTAGTTGATGACTCCACCATCCCACATCAGAAATTGATGCGAACATGCGGGGTCAGGTCGCGTATGACCTCCGGGCGTTCATCACTGCTATTCATTGCAGGGTTTTTGGCATTTATCCAAAAAGCCTCAAGAAGCTTTCGCGTTGGTGTTTTAGTCTTCTGTGCAAGGATATTGACTTTTACTTCAAAATCGTCTCCGCTATGCTTTTGTATCCTATGCGTGCCTAGTGGGGTGCTTCGTCTTAGTTTTCGTTTGCCATCTAGGTGTTCTTTTATACGGAAACACAAAGGTCTGCCCGTTTCGCCAATATATTCATCTCCGCAATTATTACAAGAGATCAGGTATATCGTACCTGAACTCATGCAATCACCGTCCCTGCCGTAAGGGCAAATTACGCAATTTGTTGTTTCACCCAGACGGTCGTCATACAGGCGGTTGCAAACTAATTGGCGACGTAGAGTAACCGGTGGTATTTCAACTATCGCTACCGATTCCTTTAGACCTGCCCTTTTTAGCATCGTTTTATAGGTACACTTACTTCATCGCTTATAAAAGGCAACATAAACGGGACTTTCTTTTGGCCAAGTGTTTCGCGTGGGCGCGTCGCTCTCCTGAACTTATCTCGTGGGGTTACTATTTCGTAGCCATTGGAGATGGCTATTTGCCGAGCCCAGTAGCGCGATTCTTCCTTTAGTTCCCTGGTAGTGCACACAGAGGTGGCTGTTCAAAAAATGTTTCTCACAATCGCACTCTTTGTGTATGAAGGGTGGGAAGAAAGGAAATGACCAAGAATGTTCTTGTTACTTGGCTTTCGGTACCATTTTGTCAGGTGTCAACTTCTTGAGGCTTTTTGGATAAATGCCAAAAACTCTACAATGAATAGCAGGGTTGAATGCCCGGAGGTCATACGC